CAAATGTCATCGCTAGGACTTGTAACCAGCATATTGAAGCAATTCTTGTCGAAGTTCTATCTCTGAATCTAAGACAAAAAATTCTTGCTGTGTATAGACCTCCATCTGGAAATTTGTCAGTGTTTTATGAATTTATTGATGATTTTTTGAGCGATAACAGTGAGTTGCTGATTGTGGGTGACATGAACATCAACATTTTGAATGAAAATGCATGCAATGAATATCGAGACATATTGGAGATGAATGACTATATTGTAGCAAATAACTTTGTGACGAGACCTGCTTCTGGCTCACTTTTGGATCATGTTATGTTGAAAGAGAATACAGATGCTCTAATTTTTACATCTAAAAATTACAAACTCTCTGATCATAATTTTATCGTGCTTATTAAAAAGATTACTCACCAATCGAATTGGATGCATACAGAAATCACAAAAGTAAACTTCGCACAAATAAGGGATGAATTAACTAAGACGGATCTTATGAATGTCATCAACAATTGTCCAAATGTCGATACAGCCTTCTCTAAACTAATTGTATTGATTAAGTCGCTGACTGATAATGCTAGAGTGACCTACAAAATAAGACATAAATATGAGAATGAAGTTCCTCCATATGTTGACAGAAAATATGTGAGATTAACTAATAGCATAAATAATTTACATGACAAATTACGCAAAAGGAGGAATAGGAACCAAGCAGTAAGCCTTTTAGAGGCCAAAATGTTAAATCTTGAAGAAATATTAATTAAACATACTGAGATGAAGGCAAAAATCTACTACTCTAACATCATAGCAAATAACAGATCATTTTCATGGAATATTATTAATGAAATAACAGGTCGCTCAAAGAAAGATGAAAATTTAGTAATTCAGCACAATGGAAACGTGATATTCGACAAGAATGAAATTGCTAATGTCTTTCAAATAAGGTTCAACATGATAATTAATAACACATCTACTATAATTGAAATGGATTACCTAGGTGAACCACTTGTAAACAGCATCGTAATGAGTCGAGTTACAGAAAACGACATATTTGAGCTAATGAATGACTTATCACTAAAGAAAGCAGTTGGTAGTGATGGACTTCCTGTCAAAGTTTGGAAAGAAAATATTGACATTCTAGCTCCGATTCTGACTATTCTAATCAATGAAATGCTTGATAGTGGAATCTATCCAGATATACTAAAAATTGCTGCTATTAAACCAATACATAAGAATGGAAATAAAATGCAGGTTGAGAATTACAGAGGAATATCGTTGCTTCCTACTATCAATAAGGTCTTTGAACGAGTAATCTACGATAAAATTGAACAATTCGTTACTCGATTTAAGCAGTTTGATGAGCTCCAATTTGGATATAGAAAACACTATGGTACGCAAGATGCATTATGTAAACTTTATAGCACAATCTCTAAGGCACTGGATAAGAAAAAATATGTTGTTGCTGTGTTTTTCGACATATCAAAAGCCTTTGACAGCATAGATCACAAAGTGCTGCTCTTTAAGCTAGAGAAAATGGGTATACGAGGAAAGGCACTTGATTTAATAAGAAGTTATCTTACCAACAGACAGCAGTTTGTAAAAATTGGAGATGTGTTAAGTGAAATCGCGGAAATTTTGTTTGGAGTTCCTCAAGGCAGCTGTTTAGGCCCACTGTTGTTTGTGTTAATGCTCTATGATCTAAAATTCATTGAAACCAAATCCTCAATAATCAAGTACGCTGACGATATTGTTCTTATATTGGTCTGTGATCAACTTGATGAAATTCCAACAGCTATAAAGAAAGACATTGATAAGATTAGACACTATTATGCAAATAATGGACTCAAACTAAACGCAAATAAATCCAAGTACATGACATTCGGATTTACAGGCTACAAACATCTTGATGAATATATGAATGGCAATGGGATCGAAAAAGTTGAGTCAGTTAAATACTTAGGAGTAATTGTGGATAGCAACTTAAGGATGAATGGACACACAAATCATCTTGTCAAAAAAATTTCTCAATCAATGAATGCAATGAACACTATTAAAAAGTACTTACCAACTTACTCGCTAATGCAGTTTTATAACGCGTTTATCGGCTCGCACTTATTTTGTAACGGCTTTTTGATGTGTCGAATGAATGTTACGGATATTAACAGGCTGCAGATTATCCAGAATAAAGCTCTGAAAACAGCATTTGGACTAGAGCGAAGATATCCAACTGAAAAATTGTACAATGAAATAGCCGTTAATGTTTTACCAGTTAAAGGAATTGCTTACCTGAACTTGCTTCTGCTAATTAAGAAGTATATCCTAACGAACTCTGAAGATTTTGAAGTCATTAATGATGGACGTAGAAAAAATCAGTTAAAATTTATCAGATTCCGGAATATGCTTGCTGATGATCTTGTTTGCCTTGGTCCTAGAGTGTACAATCAACTGCCACTGGAAATAAGAGAGATAAAAAGTTATAACTCATTCAAACGTAAACTTAAAGTTTTTCTCTTAGAAAATAAATTAATATTCCTGAGGGGTAACCAACTAGACGTAAACAACTTATTCAGATCAGCATAATCCATAAGATGCAAAAAAGATGTGAAAATTCAAATTTATATTACAACGTTTAAATTTTGTTAGTCTAATATTCTAGTTTAAATGCTTCTTACAGATCCATATTTGTACTATTACATTGTTACTTACCTCACTGTGCGTGTACGCACTTTATTCAAACTCATCAACACTATTTTAATGTAATACTTTTATTGTATCTATTTTTTTTTGTTTACACAAAAGTTTCCGTTAAAAACAATGTTAAAATTTTTCTTATAATTTTCTTAACTGCCCGAGAGGGTCAAATAAACTCAATCAATCAATCAATCTTTAAACATTCGAGCGAATTTCGAACATAATTTTATATGGAATAGCAAACATCTTTAGATCAGTTGAACCCACCTTGATTTTATTTTTTAAACAATTTGGAATAATATATTTTTAAAAAGCAAACATTCAACCAATATTTATGTTTTCTTCATATTTAAGTTTTTGGAATAATGAAATTGACAAATTAATAAGTGGGATTTTTTTTGGATGAAAATCCTATTAGATAATAAATCCACTTATTAATACAAGTGGAATTATTATCCACTATGACAAATAAGTTTTTGGATTTGATTTAATCCATAATTTTAATCGTGTTCCATAAAGATAATAATCCCACTTAGAAATGTAAGTGAAATTATTATCTACCTGGGAGATAATAATCCCACTTGTAATTATTGGTGGGATTATTATCTTTCCGGAAGGATAATAATTCCACGTGTATTCTAAGTGAGAATATTATCCCGCAGGGAACATTTAAAAATTTGCGATTTTCGGGGTTATTATCCCGCAGGATCGTGGAATTAATATCTTTCGGGGATTTTACCCCCCATCCGACAATCTTTCTTTATTTCATATTTGGAATTATTGTAGTTTAAGTTACATTTCTTTGAGTCTTATTTTGACACCAGCCTGAATACGGCTTTAATTCAACTATATCTTGATTAATTATTAATTTTGATGAATGAGATTTACATATATCATGAAAATGTGGCATAAAAAGTTTAAAAAAAGTTGCCGAGCGAGAAAAAAAAAGCTTTTTTTTAAGCTTATTAACTACGTTAATAAATTATTTTTGAACTGGCTTGTTCGGTGCTGGTGGGCAGCTCATGAAGCCATACTTCACCATGATTTTAAGTGCAGTTCCTTGAGGTGCATCCTTTGGGATCTTTCCGACTTCGTCTACGAAACTGCAGAACTGATTTATTGCTTCTTCAATGTTGGGGATTCTCTTTAGACGTTCTTGAGCTTCTGTGAATTTCTTGAAAAGGCTCTCATTCTTTACTGCTTCGTTGAGTTTCTCTGCATAACTGATATTATTGAACAGTTGTTGCTGATTAATCTCTTATTGAGATGTTGCTGATGAGTTACTTGCAGCATTCACTGGATGTGAATGAGCAGAAACTTGATGTCGTTTGCTTAAAGATGGAAAATTGTTACTGTCCAAAAGACTGGATATCTGTGGCAGCATTTTGAGTTGTGGTTTGGCTCTTGACTTTTCGATTCTTTTGGAATACGAAATGAACGATGGGCACAGTCTATAACTGGCAGCATGATCGCCATTGCAATTAATGCACTTGGCATTTCCATCACGAGTGGATCGTTGACATTGATTTGGTCCGTGAACTTCCGTGCACTTGACGCATCGGAACTTATATCCACAATTTTGAGATGAGTGACCCCAACGTTGGCAGTTGAAGTACTGCGTTGGGCTTTTGTTGCCCTTCTTGATGTTCTCCCACTTGACGATGATGTTGTCGATGTTACGGTGGTTATGATTGAGCACGTTGATGTTCACACTTTCATCTTGAAAATGCACAAGATAAAAGGTGAACTCGGGCTTCTTGACGAGAATTGTCACTTTGACAGCTGAAACCTTGGCTTCTTGAAGTAATCTTAGTACTTCATTCGTTGGTGTTTTGTAAAATCCTTTCAGAACGAATGACTTTGTTTTCTCCGATTTCTCGGAGAAGGTGTGGAATTGAATAGTTTGAGACCGCAGAAGATTTATTATTGAGGCCTTATCCTCAATAGACTTGACAATTACTTGAGTTGTATTTGATGATGAAATTTTATATGCAGGCATAACCTGCAATTTCAATAGTGAGATTAATTTTCTCACATCCTTGAGACTGCATTGCACAAATATTGGCTTGACTGAAGTTGTTGTCGTGACTGGAACCGATGATTCCTCTTTCTGAGGCGATTGCTTCCTCTTCTTGGAATTTTCATTAGATTTAATTGAACTTTCGTCCAAATCAATTTTTGCGACAAATCTTGCTTTCTTTTGACTTTCCTTATTTTCCTTGAGGAAAACACAACCCTTGGCACTTAATAAGAAGTTTTTCTCAACTAATAACCACTTGGAAACTGTTTAATTAATTTAATAAAAATTTTCCACGTTTTTAAGCGCGGGGCTTGAAACTTCAATCTCTTATTTCATTCATAAATTCTAATAAAATTCAGTTTATTAAAAAAATTAATAGTTCTTATTCACAAGAAAGAAAATATACATTTACAGCATGACAAACTATTTCTTATTGAGTCGAAAATTAGAAAAGTTGAACATTTTATCAATATTATTTCCTTTACCTTTTTTGCCACCTTTGAATTTTTGATTATTTTTCTGGTCCTTTTGATTGCTATTTCCATTGCTAGATCCACCTTGGAATCTGTCATAGCTCACTGATGAATAATCAAATGGAACTGGCTTGTTTGAACTCTGTCGAAAATCTGATGCTTTTTGAGCCTTTCCTTTCTTATTGAACTTTTTATTCTTATTCTTCATGTTTTCAACGACTGTTGCTACTTCCTGTAATTTTGATTCTATATCCATTTCATTTGCATAATTATTAGGCAATTCAGGCTCCCTGTTGGCTTCCTTTCTCCAACGCTTATTTTGATATTGAGGCTGCTGTTGTGTAGTTCCATCAGATTTCCTTTTAACTACTCTTAACGGCACTTCCTCAACATCTTCATCATTTCCAATTTTAACAATCTCAAGTTCTGGAAGTTGTTTCTTCTTTTCTTCCAACATTTTCTTTCGATTTTCCTCAGCTTCAGCTTGTTCCTTCTTTCTTTGTGCTTCCATAAATGGAATCATTAATTTGTATCGATGATATGGAGAAATAAACTTGATTTCCAGCTCTTTTTGGCTATTTCCATAACCATTTTGGTTCTTATCAAAGACATTAAGTGAAATTTCATTTATAATTATGTCTTTAAATGATTCCTTCAACTTATTGCTTCCAATTAATGTCGGTAGATCATCTCGAATTTCCTGTTGATGACTAAGATCATGTGGTGAATATAAAGGATGATTTAGTAAGTCTCTCTTATTATTCAGGTTGACTGTTTGACGTACAGCATCTTTATCATTAATGATTGGCTTAATAATCGGCTGTTCACGTGCCTTGAGAATAATTTGATGTAAATGATTAAGATTTTGTCGAATCATTGGTGGAATTGGATTACAGCATGCCAATATTCCTTGCATTTCACGCGGAAGTGATTCAGCAATTTGAAGAAGCATGTGATTTGGCAAAATATATCCACAAGATTCATCTTCTTCTCGTGCAATCTTATCGCGCCATAAAAATATCTCTCGTAATGCATAAATTTGTTGATTATTGAATGATCTTTTAGATTTAAGGAACATGTCCTTGTATGAATTTTCATGAATTATCGGCTTTAAGTAGCGTTTCATACACAAAATTTTACTATCATGATAAACACCTTTGACGAGAGTTGATTGTTCATTTGAAGCACTCAGTAAATCATTAACAATTTTATCGAAAATATAAAGCAAATAATGCGTATCTTGTTGTGCATATTTCAATAGATTCTCAGGTAAAGGTCTCATCCTCCAATCAGCAAGTTGGAAGCTTTTATCAGCATCAATATTACAGTAATGTTTTAATAAAAATGCTAGTGACAATCTAGCTAAGCCAAGTCGTTTTGCAGCTTGATGTGTATCAAACATATTGACGACATAAAGAGCTAAATCTCTTTGCAGCCATTCAATATCGCAATCTGAACCATGAAATATTTTAATAATTGATGAACGTGTAAATATCTCATTTAAAATATGCAGTTCATCACGCAATGCTATTGTATCAATAATATAGTCTTTCGTTCTAGATGAGATTTGCATTAAGCATGTAATGCCTAAGAAAGTTCGATAAGAATGATGCTCAAGATCAACAGCTATTTCTTTGGCACTTCTTAGTTCCTCTACCATTGCATTAAGTTGCTCTTCTGTTTCAACATAATTATATGGAAAGTTTGTTATATCTTCCGGTACTTGTGGTTCTCTTTTCATCAGCATTTCATTTGTTGGCTCAAATTTTTCAATCTCCAATTCATAAGGATGCAAATAATTAATGATAGTTCCATCGTCATCATATTCAGGCAATAATGCTAATGGTCTTAAAGAATTTGGCTTGTCCTTAATCCGAGGAATAAACGGCGTTAATGCGCTATTGTCAACAAGCGTTTTGAATGTTGTTTGAGGACGTAAAATGTTCTTAGCTGTTATTAATTTTGCACTTTGTGGTGATGCATCAAACTTAGCTGTTACTATCGTCGTTGATAGCTGATATTGTGGAGTTTGTGGTACTTTAACTTCCTGGACATTAATTGTTGGTGTAATTTTTCTAATTCCTTGCATATCATCTAAATTATAATTAATTGTTTCGAGAATAGCATCATTAAATTCTTGCAATATCTCAAATTTCTCTTCATTGTCTCGTTTTGTGATGTTTCCTTTAATTCCTTTATGCTGTATCACATTGTGAATTACATTAATTATATCATTATTATGATAACTCATAACCTTTGAAAATGACGAATGTGTTGAATATAGATCGCGAGAGGAACCTGATGGCAATGCATTAATGGTCTTTGTTGCTTCCATGATCAATTTCATTCCGTTCTGGAAGAATTAATTTAAAATTGTTGAGACAAAAATATAAACAAAAACAGCATGAAAATTTTATTTACCTTTGAAAACTCATCCATTGTTGGGAATCCAGCAAACTTTGTGCTCTCCTTAGAGCTTTCTTGTTCCTCTTTAATTTCACTCATATTTATATGTTAATTAAAGCGTTAAATGGAGTAAAGTTAAGAAAAACTTAAAATTATTTTTATTTTATTTCTTTAATCAGTTGACAATCCCCTAATTTAAAAAATATTTCAACCAAGTTGATCTTCCCCTGCAGAGTTTTAGCGGGATTTTTTGAAAATTTCTTTACCGGACTCTGCAGAGAGCTCATTTAAAGGCATTGAATAATTTTAAAGCCTAAAACAATGTTTAAATACAATTATTAATTTAATTATTATTAAGAACCTGTTAAGTTTTTTCTCCACTTCATCTTTAATTTCAAATTTTCTGAAACCGTTGAAATTTGAATTTCTTAAAACCGTTAAATGATAAAATGAGCTTATAATACGAATAAAATATTCAAGCTTTTATTGATTGCTTCATATTAATTAACAGAGTGACTACTGTACTTCAATGACTCAATTACAAAAGCAATTAAAATATTTTGCTGAAAGATGTTTTGTAATTTATTGTCAGCGATGTAATTTTTTGCAAGTTTCTCAACGTTCATAAATTCACATAAATTAAACACGATGAATTAACATATCAATATGAATTTATTTAATGTTATGTTTTCATGAAATTCACAAACCTTTTTAATAAGATTGAAAATAACATTAAAAAATTAAGATATACTTTCAAATTTTTAGAATCCAAAATGCGCACTAAGAAGTGCCAATAAATCTTAAAAAACAAATTGTTTGTGTTTTAAATGACTTAATTCACACAAATTCGCATTTCATAAATTTCACAAAATTAAGAACAATGTTTGTGTCATGAGAAAGGATTGCATGAATGAAAACTGTTCACATAACATCTTTATCAGCATTCTTTGTAGTCAATTTGTTAAATCAATTAATTGCAATTAAAATTCTTTCAAAAATTTATTTTTAAACATCAGTTGAATAATGTGCAATTGTTGATGATTTAAGAAGCATAACTCGTTTTGTATCAAATAAAGTTTAAAGAACAGCCTTGGTGACAACTCTGTGACATAAATTGTGTTACTTTTAGAATCTTCACACTTTTAAGGTTCTTAATTGAGTCTCAAAATTTAAAATCATGGAACTGTAAAAAATAGAAGCTGAAAATTTGATAAATAACAATAACTTTACTGCAATCAGCATGAGAAACAAAAAAGAATTTAAAATGTTTTGAATTAAATTAATTTTGTTTATTATAACTCGAAATTTACAAATTAGTGAATCAACAATTATCAACATTAATGTTCTTAATCATAAAAAAGAAAATGTTGAAAATCATAAGAATGAGAAATAATTACAAAAAACAAATGTGGAAGTTAGATATAAGATCATTAGAGCATAAAGTATCAAAAGAGTTCCCCAAGTTCATATAAATTTTATTTTTCTTTCATATTCACACAAATTTTCAATTTTTGTGAATCTTTTCATTCAATTTCCGATTCAATAAATATTTGAGGTTAATCATAAATTAGGTTTATCAAGAAGTAGGATTCTTCTAATGTATTGAAATCGGATATTTGTAATTGAACTTAAATCTGTAATAATATTTAAAATTCAGAAATATGAACCCCTTCTCTCTTAGATACACCCCCATCATTAATAAACGACTCCTGATCAAAAATTAAAAAGAGATTTTAAAAGGCACAAAAATAAAATAAAAAAACACTTTAAAAAGAAGAATCAAAAACAAGAAATTTAAAATTCATTGCCCTTGAAATAATCTTGATATTATTACGAAATTAAACATACAACAACAAAAAGAAGTGAATAGAATGAATTTGCTTATGAAACAAAGTTTAAAGAACATAAATAAAGGGGAGAAAGAAAAAGAAAAGAGTCTTTAAATTTATGCTACACACAACATAAAAATAAAACAAAAAAAAATGTATCGAGTAAGTAAATAAGTATAGGATAAATAATAATAAGAGAGTTGTGCATGAGAGCATAATCAATGAAGACGACAAATGAAGGCCACTTGCTTGTATGTATTTTCATTTATCGTATACATGATTCCGTGGCGTCTCAACTTCCTTCTTATTCTTATGAGTCTCAAGATATGTAATTTTAAATGCGAAAAAGTAGCATGGTGATGGTGACGCATCCATATCGTCCTGAAACTCATACATTAATGGCTATTTCTTTTGTCGGAATGTAAAAATTGTATCCATAAGAAAAATAACACCGTTAATGATGGAAACGACGCCCTTTGTCATAGCCAAGTCTCTCGTTCGTGTACGAAACGCTCGCTCCCATGACTGTATGATGAACACACCTGATGTGAGGAAGAGTGCCGTACCCAATAAACTGTAGAACAACATTATTCTCTTGTTTATCGTTGCTTTCATCAAATATCCTGCAATCCAATCTTTATTGAATACGATTTTGACTTCATCAAAAAGGAACTTACAGCAATAGTAAGCTGAACACAGCATGTCTGTGTGCTTTGTAATTTATTCTCTTACCTGCCATTACAGCCAATAATATTATGCAATATCCACAAAATGTTCCTGTCGCTATGAATTCTGTAACTAGGTCATCATCGCTGAAGGAGTAAAAGTGGAAATATGTACAGCAAGCTGCTAGACACTGAAAAGTAAGGATGGAAAATTAAAAGGAAAATGGAAATTTGTTTTGATTGCTCAAGGTGATATTTTGCTATGCAAATTAACTGATCAAATGTCATGAATTTTAATATTAGAACTGTGGCTCTTTGGGAGATTTATAGAAATGGAATGGTTATGTTGGATTTAAGTTTATGGGTGGAATAAACTGCAGTTAAGTGCCTTGCTGGTCGAATAGGTAAGGCGCTTGGCTCAAATTTGGTATTTTTTGGAAGGTCGTCGGTTCGAATCCAGCCATTTCCAAATTTGTTCTTTTTCAGAAGTTTAGATACTTCGACTGCTTAATGTACGAGATCAAGCCATAATTGGGCATTTTGGGCAACGTTGGATTAAGGAACGGATCAGGAACTTGAAGTGTAGCGGGAGAAATAGGAACGAGAGCTACAAGATTACCTTATAATGGAATATTGTCAGAACGGACCTGAAATGTATCACGTCACGCCCAAAGAAGATTGAAACGAGAGCCTGAATTTAATCGAAACCTAGATTTGAAGATTAGAAGCTTGATTCTACGTCACCCATAGTGATATGAAATGTATCACTAATCAATGTAAAAAGTAAAACATGTATAAATACTAATTCTTCCGGACGGTAACGTCGACAAATAAATAATAATAATAATAATAATAAAATTGTGGCTTTTCTGATTTATTTGATTTGAAAAGCTTTATGAAAAGTTTTAAATAATTTGAACATGCTAATCAATTCACATAATTATCATTTAAGAAATGCTGATTTCACTAGATCAGTTTTTACTGTGTTGTTTGAGAATGCATGTTTAGCAGGTCAATATCCAAAACTTGAAAAAAACTAGAGGTTTTGGGATTAGAAATTATTCGAACCATGTTTAAACTTTCTTTGTGGATTTCAATCAGAAATGTCTATAAAGGAACAGTTTGGACACTATATATATCTTAGCAAGCACCCCCTTCCACCAGTTTAAATGATCAATGAAGATTCCTTAATATAATTATAACAAGATTAATAAATTAAAAGAAATTAAAAGCTAATGTTGGTCAAAGATTGTCTCTTTAAATTCAATCGATTTATTAAACACAAAAATCACCAAAAATAAACTTTTAAATTGCCATGAAATTCAAATGAACTGCTCATTTTGCATGCCAATCTTGAAAACTTTTCACTTCATTAATCATTTTGCTCAGATTATTTTCAAATTTTGATGAAAAATCCATTAATAAATTATTGCATACTTCTCAAAAGATTATTAAGTTTTCATGAGTTTAACCCTCGAGTCTCAAATTAATAGACATAAAATAATAAAAAAATCATCTCCACATAAAAAAATAAATGATTCTAATTAATTTGAATTAATGAAATTATTTTATTGCAAAATTTTAATATTCAATAAATTAATGAGTTTTTTTTTTATGTGCAGTTTGGTGGTAATTTTATTTCCTTAAGAGACATAGAGGTCATTATGCTTGCAATTGCCTTGAGAATCATTATTTGTAGGCATTTTATGTCCTCTTAAATTTGGTGTCACAGCATTTTAGTGTGGCTTTAAAAGTTTATTCTTCAAATTTATCACACATTTTATTTTAACTTTCAATAAAATTCAAAACCTCAAAACTTTAAAAAATTTTAAATCTTTCGAACTTTTAAACTTCACAAAACCCAAACTTTCCGTCCTCACCAATTCAAGAAACTTCACAATCGACAACGGAGTTTTTGTCGATGAGTTTTCATGCACAACTGACTGATGCGTGTTCTGCACCATGACTTTATTATTACTATGTTGCACCATTAACAAACTTATTAAAATAAAATAAAATTTTCACAACAATTTCCAATTTTACTATCACGTTCGAACTCCAATTGATGACTCTCGTGCTCTCTCAGAGTAAAATTTTGAGCTTCTAGAAAATATTGAAATCCAGACGTAAGCAATTATGAAATCATCATGAAACAGGTCCAGATTTATGTGATGAATCTGTAAGTTTTTAGTTCTGATCGGTCGACTCCTAAGTACTTGAGAGTCTATAATTTTATGCAGGCTTATTTTTCGATCGAAATAATCATCAAGCAGAGAAAGAATGTAAAAACAAACATAATTTTCAATATCTTGTTTCTCAATCACTTTGCTAATATTCAGTTCGGAAGCAAATGAAAATTCCTCATTAGTGAGATGAGTTCAGTTCGGTGGAAAAATAGTTTTCATATTGAGCAGTCAATGGTCGAAATATATTGCAACATATCTGCTATCATTCTGTGGGAAAATTTATTGACTTGATGATTCTTTATTGCTTATAGAGAACATTTGAGGAAGGAACTTAAGTTTTGACAGGCACTAATTTGTTTTGCATTATGATAATGACCTTTAAGATTTATTTTTGAATTATTGACCTTAATTTTTATGTTTTTACAAGTCAGGAGCTGTGTTTGTGATATTATTAGAAGCTTCAACAATTAAGTACAATTTCCATTGATTTGATGACTTGATCTGTGATCAATTTAAATGATTTCACGTCCTTTGAATAATTAAAGAAATTTAGCTCTTCTTTTCTTCCTTAATTCATTAGATTGTCAATAATTTTGCCATATTTATGATAGCTTTCACTTTAAAGTATCATAAATCAAAATTAAAACAAAAAGAATATATTCTATTACTTTATGCTACTTTATTACGTTTGTCAATCAAGATCAAAAGAATCCTTAATGTCATAACTTAACGTCAATATAAATTAAGTCTCTATTGTGACAATGCACTTACAATTTATGACGTCTAGGGGGGGGGGGGGGGGTCAGCAAGAAAAGAATATTAGAAATTCCTGGAAATTCATTGTTCGTTTTTGAAAATTGCCCGTTAATTTCGGACGTCATAAGTGGGACACATGATCTTTGATCATAACTCCTTTAAGTTATATAATAAGATTATTCATGCTGTAATTTCACATGTTAGGCAAGTAAAATCTTATGTCAACTTGAGTCAAATACAGAACATCGAAAGACATAGAATCGAATGAATTCGATATTTTTTTGAAACACTTCAATAGTTTATGACAAAACATTTGTGAGGTTTTCGTTGTTTATGTTCACATGTTTAACGGTTGTTGCAAGAGAATTATTGGTTGTCTCAGGTTTTAGAATAAGGGAGGGGAGGAATTAGGCTTCAAAATAATGTGTTTGATACAGGGGAAAAACTACTTGGATGGCAAAAATTTTGATAGAATGGTGATAATGGTGAATGTTGATAAAATGGTAAAAAAATGGAAAAAAATGGTAAAAAATTGGGAAAATGGATAATAATGGTAAAAAGGGTAAAAATGGAGAATTTTCCCTTTTTTTCATCATTTTTGATGGAAAATTTTCCTTTTTTTACCCCTCAAGTAGTTTTCCCCCTGGTTTGATATTAAAAGTCTTTTAATTTAAATAATTGATTGAATATTGAGCCTTATCATGTCAAAATTTCACTCACATCTCCATTTGACCAGTCTTAGCATTATTCCATTATTTCCAACAATGCCACAGTTCAGCTTATCTTCAAAAAACTTAAAAACTAGAACTGCTCACTCATCTGCCAATGATTCAGATTCTCATTCTATTCACAAGTTTATCTTAATTACAAACATGCCAGAGCTAACTTTGCATATTACATTAAAAATTGTTCATATTTCAATTCCCACTTAAACTGATTAACAAAAAAAAAACTTTTAGTTCTAGAACGACTTCTGTCATCAACATATTTGTAATTTGTCCAAATCTCTTATCTTGACTTACATTCCAATTCACTCTAAATACCGCAATGACCTTTGGAACTTTAACAAGTCTTACATTTACACAAAAGAGAGCGAATGGAGAAAAAAAAGGAATCGAGATGAAAAGAAAGTTTGCATCAGCATTCAGCAACGATTATCCGTTGACACAATTTTTTATGTATTTTTTTTTGTTCCTCACATTTATGCTTCATTGAGTGCGCTTTTCTCATCACACTGCAGTAAAGCTTTTCATAAAAATTCATAATGCACTTTCATACGATTCTCTCTGAAAGTTCTCTCATTTTCTCTCAATTCTCCTTTTTTACATCCCTTCTACTCGCATCATCCACGTGGTTTTTCCTCTTTCATGAATTATTTCTCTCGTTTTTGCAACGCATGCTTCAAAATCTGCATCGATTTTTTTGTCTATCTCATTTTTTTCCGGCTACTCATTCATATCGAAAAGCACATCACATTGAACTTTTGAAATGCCACTGCTGATGCTGCTGACGATATTTACATTATGCATCTATAAAAATATTTTCAGCATTTTAATTTCTGTGGGGTCGTGGTGCTTTTTGTTTAACTTCCATTGATGAATATGAAGCCTTTGTTATAGAATTTGCTTCCTTTTGTGTCTATTCCGATGAGATTTTCAGATAATCACAAACAATTCTCAACATCGCATAGCAGTGGATCTTGATGTGATGGAAATTTTCACAGTCTTCATTTTTTATTGATGACTATCATTTGAGATAGAAAAGATTTCAGCTAACCCTACTCAAAGTTATGAGAAGAAGAGTTTTAAGGTGTTTTGAGGAAGTGATGAAGAAGGAAACTTTACTTTGACAGATTAGTTGAGAAATGGATACAGTTGAGCAGATGTGGATGGAATTGTTGCTATGTAAGTTGTAAGGATGTTGAGATTTAATTTTAGATTGTTGAAATTGTATCCACAAGAGACTTAGACTCTGTGGCTAATGCTTAATTCTAAATTCCAAATGATGAATAATTTTTATTTTGCAAAATATATCATTTAAACTCCTTAACCTTGAAATCTATCAAGCATTGATTTTGAATGCTCAACTACCTAAGCAATTTCATCATATACTGCATCAAGAAACCAAATTGATCCGATTATTTGCTATTAAAGGTCATCAACGATAAAAAAAAAATCAAAAATGCTGGTCTGTTTTCTTCTGCAACTGTATCTCATTATCTTTGTATACCATTTCCGTAAAGTAATCGGACAAAAATTTGTAGAAAACTCGCCATAATTGTTTGAAATTAGACATGGCAATTTTCTTCGCAAATTGCTGACTTGTTAATATTTTATGCTTGTTCTGCTCAATTTAAAAACAAACTAGAAATGCTGAACAATTTTATAATTTCGTTAAATTTTCATATTTTTATGGAATTTATTTTTGTGGGTTTTATTTTAAGAGCTCTAATGAGTTGTTCCTAAGGCGGCTTCCCTGTTTAGCAAACAATGTATTTTTGTCTTGGGGGGGGGGGCAAAAATTTTTTTTGTATGGAAAACTTTTAGGGGGGGGGGGGGGGTATTTTTTTCGAGTTTTTCATAAAAACTCTAGCAAAATGAAGAAATTTCTCAAGACCAAGGGGGATTTGTCCCCAAAATCAACAGTCTGGCTACGCGCCTGACTTACGGTCTAACCTCAAACGTGTCCTGATTTAAGCTGGCTACAACTCTAACGAGATCTAGAGAAACAACAAGGAATACCTGGATTGGTTGTGTTGAAAAGACTCTATACCAGTGATGTCCAACTCATGTGCCGCGAAAAAAAATCAGAAAATTCCACGAACCGAATGCCGTGGCTTTAGTCATGGCTTACCACCAAAGTCTTGGATGGTACAAAAAAGGTTGGACACCACTGCTCTAGAGTCATTATTTTCTCAAACTAGCCAAAGTCTTCAAAGGATAGAGTTGTCTTTACATGAACTCAGCGACAATGGCCCACGTGCGACCCAGCCAAGGAAATAACTAAGTACAACGCTGACGTTAAACATCACAAAGCCATAGCTCCACAGTTTTAAATGATTTTACTCTCAGGAATATAATTTCTATTTTAGCAAATTTCCTAAGTATCTATCCAAAATGTCTCATGATTTATTGTTTTCCAATAGTCCAATAGGAAAGTATTAATGTACGACTATGAATGTCAGCTTAGAAAATAGAACACAATGCCTGTCAAAAGATATGCCATTAACATTTAAAATCTCTGAGCAGTTTTCCGCATACAGGTATATTTTTTTTTTGCTTAAATTTTCTTCATGATCTTTAAAATTCCGAATTGAGAGCAAAAATCTCCCTTAGTAGCCACATCCTATAAAAAAAGAAATCTTTCTGGTTTTCTTCATCCTACTCACCAACATAAAAAGTTGAAATTCAAAATCTGCTGTAGGAAAATAAAGGTAAACGTAAGAAGACACAAGAGATGGTCAGAAAAATTGTTTTTATTGCATTTTATGGCGCTTTAATGGACTTTTTTGTGTATAAAATCGCACCTATCTATTCGCATCACGTTTTATCCAGCGCGACCACAGCATATTGGTTGTTGGCTTATTCAGTGAAAATTTATGAATAATTAATAAGATTTGTGGATAAATAAATACGAGATCATTTACACAGAGGAGCTCATGAATTCATTACAGCACACACGCTGTCGTTATCCGATTTTTTTTAATTTAATTAAATTAAGTCTGTCACTTTGTTGTACAATATCCTTTAAAACTTTATTGTTATTAGCATAATAAATTAAAATTTTCATGTGTCGATCTCTGTATTTTGTGTCTGTGCTGTAAAAATTCCAGCAAGTACAAAAATTTATTTTCGAAAACCCTCAAAAATAAGTATAAAAGATGAGAACTAAACATAAGACATGAAACAGGGTAATAAGAAGACATTTAACTACATCACACAGTCAAATATCCTTTTGAATGCTAAAAAAGCATCGAATGTGAAGAGTCTGTTTATATTTATGTACGTTATATGACGAGAATAGACAAGTATGTGGCATAAGAGTTTTGATTGCATAATCAGTCCCGCAGCAGCAATTCATCTACAATGTCTTCCTCATTTTCATGTT